AAATTTAAAATAGATGAAATAAAAAATCGAAATTTAAATCATTTTTAATTTTAATCAAATCATTCATTGGAGAATTTTAAGTATTTTAAAATATTTTTTAAAATATTTTTAAGTTAATAATTTTAAATAATTAATAAATATTAAATAATTTAAATATTTTATAAAAATTTTAAGTATTTCAAATTTCGAGTAAACTCAATTATATATTTTAGCGATAGTGAATGAACGTAAATAATTCAATTCATTTTTCAGTGTTTATTGGCGGAGCTGAGTATGTGTGAAGTTCAAATGGGCGAATACAAAATTGGCATGGAGAGAATGACTATCGAAATGAGTAATTTGAAGAAAAAGTACTTTGCGGAGAAGAAAAAACGATACGAAGCAAAAGATTTGAAAACAAAATCTGAGCCTATCTTCCCATGCGTGGATCAAAAGAAATGCTTAGGGGGTGGATTCAACATGGTAGCTGGACCAACACCCAGAGCTTATTTCGTTGTAGATTCTGCGTGCAGATAAACTTATATTATTTATATAACAAAGAAAGAATGCAGCTCGGTTATGTTTACCAAGTTGACGATACGCAATTCTGTAATGAAAATATAACAGTGTAAGTGGCAAAATTTCTGTGTATTTTTCTCTCTAATTCTTTCTTTTCGTTTCGTCTTTTCATCACGAGTTCTATTGTTTCTTATTTTCTTTCTTTTGAAACGTTTGTCAATATTTGGAATCTATAAAGCTAGATACATACCATCACATGCGAAGAATGTATTGAGAAAAATTATTCACAAAAACAGGAAGGATAATTCATTTCTTTTTGTCTCGTTTAAATTTTTTGGAAAAGATCTTACAGAAAAGATGATGGTGAAAGAAGTTTAAGTGTTTTTTATTTATCGTTATACGGAATGGATGGATGATATTATTCTGATAGCTCTGAAGAAAAATGGAAAAATGAAGGAATATTTGATTTGTTTTCAAGAATGGTATTGCAAATATTGATATTCTTTAAATGGAATAAAAAAATTGTGGAAAAATTATTTTTAGATTTTAGATTTAAAAAATTCAGAATCTTTTGTTTATTTCATTTCGATTACGTTATTTTATTTTTAAATCAATGTTTATATAAATTTTTTATGTTATATTGTTTTCACAATAAAAATTTATTATATCTTTTCTTATATTTACATTAAGATTTTTTTATTCAAAATGAATTTTATAATGAAATATTTTTACATAAAAATTGTTTTTTTTTATTTAATTTAAATTTTAATTATAAATAATGTAGTAATAATTAATTTTCTTACGTAATGATAAAATATAATTAATTACATTCTCGTAATCCTTCTTTATTTTCATTTCAATATAGAGAGGATTTTAAGCATTCCTTCTGCTTTCTGGTTTAATTTGTGGTCCACGGTCCGGCGGAAGTAATGGCTAAAGCAATTGCATGACCACAGATGAATGCCACGAAAGCATTTATTGACGCGTAAATCGATTGTCATTCGAACAGACATCAAATTAATTACAACGAGCTCAATCAACATCAAGGAATTTCAAAAATAGATAAAAAGAGAGCAAAGTGTCTTGATTTACTTCTACTTATTAATTATTTATATTTTTTTTTAAAAATTATGCATTGCAATTCAATTAAGAATTTTTTCCTTGAAAACAATATCAAATTTTAATGATTATTGCATGTATTTTTTAATAACTTGTTTCTTCTATTTTAAATTTTTAATATTTTTGCTTAATTTAATTTTCTCAATTTTCATTTATTTTTTAAATTTATTTTCGATTTTTTGAAAAATATTTTAAGTAATTAAAAAGATTAAATACATTATTCACTAATCTTACTTGCTTTAAAAATTACTTTAAAAAACAATTTTTTATGTGTTAACATAAAAGAATTATTTTTATTTCTATGTTTCTAATTAATCATGAAAAATATTTAAATATTCATATTACACATGTAATTTTTCTGTAACAACGTAATTTCTTTTGTTCCGGAGACCAGAAATGTTTTCAAAGATATTATAATAAAAAGATTAACAATTTATTTTATTTATCACATGAATAACTCCAGTTAGTAAAAAATTTCTTTATTCTTGCTTGAGGAAACTTGAGAAAATACGAATATTTTTCGTTGCATGTTTAATACTAATAAAATATTCAACAAAAGAATACTGAAGAATAAAAGCAATAATAATTCAAGCAAAACATTACGTTCTTCTTATCTCGAAAGAAGAAAATAATTCTCTAAAAAAAAATGAGAGTTATAATAATTTATCTAAATTAAAATAAAATTATTATAAATAAAGATTTGGCATTAAAAGATATTCAACTAAAATAATATATTATAATTTGTAAATTTCATGTCATTTCAATTAATATATAGCCAATCAAAAGTTTTTATACATTATATAATCAATAAAAATTCTTTATATTATACATTAACTCTTTATATTATACATTAACAAGAAAAACTCATTTAACCTAAAAATTTTAATTTTAATGTCTCTATTAGAACGTTTTATGTAAAAGTGGAAAATGAAATAATTTCGTTAATCGTTTATTATATCGAATAAAATATAATAATATTTTTTTTCAAATATGATTTGAATTAAGAATATTTTTTAACAGCAATATAATAAAGTATTAAAATGAAGTGAATATTTTATGATTTAAAATTTTAATATTTTATATTATTAAAAAATTATATTAAAAAACGAAAAAAAAATATTCGAAGAAAATTTTCAGAATTGATTCCATTCTTATGAAATAACCGAATTGTACATTTATATTTCATATGAAACAAAATTCTTGTTGGTTTTTATAACTGAACTGTACATAATTCAATTCAAAACTTTCATCATTTTTAATATATCCAAATACTCTAACTCTACTCTTTTGACAATAAATAAAACAAAAAGTGAAGAATGTAATAGGACTGAATATTTTTAAAGATAATATAACAAATTAGTTTTAAAACTGATAATATATAATTTATTACGCATATATTCACTTAAAAATTCATGAACTTTTTTTTAAATAATGAAAATGAATGTTTACTAAGTATATAACAAAAATGTTAAACATAGATAGAATTAATTTATTGGGGATCAAATACAATATGTATTTATAAATTCGATTCAATTTCAATGCAATATTCATATTTCGATTCACAATTCTTGAATACATAAATAAACTGATGATATTTCAATGATTATATTTGAAATATATTCTATTTATTTTATATAGCTATCGAATCTTGGAACGAATATTTATAAGTTCTTTTCTTAAAAATTATTATATATTATTATATTTTATATTTTAAAAAAAATCGAATTTTTTATAATTAATATATAATTAATATTTTAATATTTTTAATAATATAGTATTTGAAATAAGAATCTTTTAATTAATCTTAATATTTATATATTATAATTTTATTTATTGAATTTGTGATTATATAAAAATGATTTTTTTATATATATGTATATATTTAAGAATACAAAAATGATTATCACACAGAAATACAATTTTAGAATTGATTTATCTGTAATTTAAAAATAACAGAAAGAATGATTAGAAAAATCAGAAAAAGTCTAGTAAAACATTCATAAGAATTTCTTTTTCGGATAAGATTGAAGTATATCTACTTGGAATTATTGACTTCGTTTTTCAGAATATTATTAAACTTTTAAATCTATCTCATATAATTAAAAATATTTATATAGAATGTTAAATACATCTAAATCATAAATAGATAAAAAATAAAATAGAATTTTATAATGTTCTAAATAATCATTTGTTTAATTTAATATTTATTTTTTTAAATAAAATACTTTTTTATACACGAATTAAAATATTCTTCTATCCTTTATAAAAGATTATTAAATATTTATATTGAAAATTAATTATTTTAACTTTAATTATAAATCCTATTTATTATTTTAATAAATATATAAAAATTTTGTATATGAAAGTCAAACAAAAATAAATATAAGATTTTACTTTATTTTTTTTATATACAAATTTGAAATATCTTCTAAATTAATTAAATTTTAACATAAATATAATACATTTTTATAGAATAAAACATCAAGACATGAATTAGTGTATAAAAATGTACAATTCCATTAAAAAAAAGATACAGATAATTTTGCATGTTATCTTCTAAATGCTTTTATTCAAATCAAATGTATAAACCACATCATTCGAAATATTTCATTTTCTATTGATGTATGAAACATTTAAAAAATTTAAATTAATTTCAATTAATTTCAATTAAGCAAAGTTCAATTTTTTGCGAGAAATTTAATCCCATCACTAGATAGTATAAATTGCTCTTGATAGAGGCCTATCGAAGCGATGGAGCGAAAATAATTCCGGAAGGTGTGGCGGAGTCACCGATACGATAAATTCGCGCGGACATCCTAAAGGAATCCCCCGGTGGATCGGACAGATACCGAAGATTCATGCAGACAGTAATATCCTGCTAGAAGGAAGACATCCCGTTGTTCATACTGGCATATTCGAAAGCACGGTCACATACATACGGTATAATTTATCCTAAGTTAAAACAAGTGCTTCACGATCGTCAACTTGTCCTCGTCTCCCTCTCTTTTTTTTTCTCTTTATCCAACGATGGAGATTTATAGAAGCTCTACAAAGTTTCAACAGGGAGTGAGCGTAAAATAATTCTTACGGAAATTGGAAGAAGTCTAGATAAAATTCAAGTAAGTCGGTATGAAGATAAGTATGAAGATTTATGCGAAATACGGTAAATTGTAATGTTGTTGCGGATTGAGTTAGATATGTTTAAGCGTTTGCAAATGGCAACTGGTACATGAGATTAATTTGGTACAAGAGTAGATTGAAAGATTAATTCGGGATATTGTTTTGCGTAATCTTTTTGGAATAAGAAAGCTTGTGATGGATTAAGCTTTTGATTACGATGCATGATGTTTTTTGCAATTAGAAAATTATTTACTGCTTATATATTCTAATGTAAAATTAACTTTCTAAATTATTTTTGAATAAAAAAAATAATAATGCTAATACTAATATATAATAAAATATGATTATATATGATTTCATATTCTAATAAAATTTAACTAATTTTAAATCGTTTTAAATTAATTTTTAAAATTAATTTTTAAAATTAATTGTTAAAAAAAATAAATTATTTTCTAAAATAAAACTAAATAATTTTTAAAATTGATATAGTTTCTTATATATTATAGTATTTCTCATATATATATATATCATAGTATAGACTTATTAATTACTTAAAACATTAAAAATTATATAATCATAATTTTTATTTTTATATATATATTTATATAAATATGTATTTATATGTATTATATATAAATATGTTATTTATTTAATCTTTTTATTATTTTATTTTTACAAGTTTTTAATAAGTTTTTAATATATAAAAAAGTGAATTAATTAAGAAAGTTTTTCAAGAATTTATGGATATGACCATAAATATAAATAGTTTCATAGAACTTATAGAAAGAGTAAATCATCAAAAACGATTTACATTTTTTATTTAATTTAAGAAATTAATTGCTATTTCTTTCGAAGAAATTAGAAAAGTTTTAGTAGATTTTAA